CGTGCTAGTTGTTCCTGACTCTAGGAGGTGGTGCTCATCTCTGTTTCAAAGCCGAAGAGCCAGCGCTATCCAAAGACATCTCTGTGGTCATGTAGCCGGCATGACTAAACGTCCAAGGTGCATGGAACGCTGTTACCTTCCCACCAAAGGTGGTTCCTATTTTTCTACTTGCATTTTTACATGCTTTTGAACTGCTAGGTTGGCAGAAGCTGGGACAAGTAATGGGAGCTCATTCCATTACACGGCACTAGGGATTCGAACCGCTGAACTGTCAACCTATCTGATCAACAAACTCAGCATCTTAGCCACTGAGCCACCGCGTTAAGTATTGACATTCAAATTGAAGCCCTTGAAGGATATAGTCCTGTCTATCCTTTTTAATCAAATTTATTGACTCTCCTTAATTTAGCAATCAAAGCAAACTATTTGGCAGTTGGGGCTGTATTTTATGAAAGTAAGGACAGCAGTTGATGGATCAATATGGCATTTATTTATTTATTTTTGAGATTTATAAGACCACCCAACTCTTGGCAACAGACAGTGTAAAAAATAATAAAAAAGAACAAAAATATCAATAAAGAAGTACAAAGTATAGATGCAAAATGTAAAATATAAAATGATGACCAGTGAAGACTAAAGGGGACAGAGGTGAAATTTTGGAGCTGTATCATTCTGTGATTTTTGTTCCTATAGTTGTCTTGGTATACACTTGCTAAAAATGTCTTGCTTGAATAGGAGAGGTCCTATCTTTAGTTCTTAACGATAGAGACTCTGATGTCTTTAGGAACGATAAAAATAGATTCAGGAAGTAGTTTAGTAATGAGTATGGGTTACCTACACACAGATAGAGCATGCCAATTTTAAGGTGGATTACTTTTGCATTTGACCTTAGAAGGGTGTGTTTAACATCATATTAAATATCTGATGATGACCATAGAGGAATGCAAGAACTTGTCAGAGCTGCAAAAACATGATTCAAACACAATTGAAAGTGATGTAAAGAGATAGTTTGTTACATGATTTTGGCAATGATTATGCTAAGAATTTTGGCAACAGCTTAGGAGACAGCCTGGCTATCTGTGTTTCATCATTAGGGGACACAAATATTTGTTCATCTCTGATTAAATTGATAATCCTATGACAAGAACATCACTAGATTTTTGCAAAAAGTCTGACATATATTTAAAATTAAAACCACTTGTTACAGGACAATATGAAATACTTTCATAGAATATGAAAGTATTCTAAACTAAATTTTGCTTGCAATTAAGTAGCTCTTCATGTGAATAAAAATCAAAACAATTGAAATGATACTGACGCTGTCCAAATGTTGATTGGGTAATGCTATACTATAATCAAAATGGTCTCATGTATAAATTTTGTTGATGATAAAGCAACTCAGTTTTCATTCTATACAGGTAATCCTTGAGTTATGACTGCATATGGGACTGGGATTAAAGTTGGGATTACCATTGTAAAGTGATGAAGTCATAAAGCATGATATCACATAATCAAATTGGTTAGCGATGGAAATTCTGGTTGCTCTTTTAACCCAAGTCACATGGGTTATCAAAGAGGAAGTGGTGGGAGTTCCAGTTAAGGAGCAGGGGTGCTGCAGAAGGGGTAGGAAGGATTTCATGTCCTGGCTTTAGCAAATGGGAAAAACATTAATGCAATTGGCAAGCAAATTGCAGGTGTGATACAGACGCTTGGAGGTGAAGCTTTCAGTGGTTCTGGGCATGGGAGAGAGGAGCATTTTGGGAGCAATATGTTTGCAGCAAGGCTTGTAAGAACATCAGGAAGGCTTGTCAGGAAAAATGATGACAGAGGGAAGGCAACTGAAGAGGAGTTATGGAAGGAAGAAAAAGCATGTACCTGTGCATAACAATTTACTAGTGGCTAAGGAGAAGATATAATCCAAGTAGACATTCTGTAATCAAGTACTTCACAAGAGCTTGAAAGTACCAAGGGTTGAGCTAGAGACTTGAAGCAGAAGTCAAGAACAGGAATTACCAAAGCAAGATGTCAACGTTGCTTCTGTTGTGGGAGGCAGGCTTTGCAGTTTACATCCTCTCACTCCTTAACATGCAAAGGGGAGGATTTGTTGCCCAGTGGTTTCCAAAAATAAGGATCTGGGCTTGCTTGAAGTCAGCATCATGTGTTTCTTTGCATGGCACTTTGCCAGGATGCAGGATTCCCAGACTAGGAAGTTTGCTGTGTTTCTTGGCACCCATGTTGGCCAAAGAAAGATTA